CCCCCTGGAAATTACGCCTCTGACTAGCATACAGTGCAGTCAAAATGACAATAGCGTTCAATAGTCTGATTTTGATCCTGGCAAATACAAATTAGATAGTACAAATTCTAAAGTCCATATAAATTTTTAATATTTAATTGTAGAAAAAAGAACTTTTTGAGCACATTCTCTTGGCTTTTGAAAAGTGGTAAATAAAACAAGTTATGGTTACTAAAGTAGACTGTTTTGCTTTTATCTCGATTGTTTCTGAGAAGTAAGGTTGTTCCCCTCAAATATAAGCTGACCCCCAAGGAGGAAGTTTTATTTTTGTGGATAACAGTGTGTCGAAATAGATTTCCTCGATGCATTTTCTGCAGTTTTAAATGCTTTGTTCCCCAAATTAAGGCTGACTGCTGCTTTTATTTTTAAACCTCCTGTAATAAAAAGTATTTAGGTAATAATGAAACAAAGTGTAGCATCTCAAGGAGTCCTTGAGATAGTGAAACTAAAACCTGAATTTCTGAAAAGGAGCTTTCATAGAAATTGTCACGGCCCGAGGCCAGTAGGAAAACGGACTCTAAGGCAGACAACACTCGGAGGCGCAGGGACTGAGGGTGACAAAGCTTTATTTACAGTGATGCAATTAATGTAAACAGCAAATGACAGTGAGAGGTGCTCAAAGTGCTTACCATAACTCAGAATTGCTCAACGTAAACAAGGAATAACTCAAAAACACTCACAAGAAACCGAGGACTAGCGGCAACCTAAACAAACTTAACACATGCTAGAAACTCCACTCTGGGACATGAATATAAATATAACATTAACTTAGAGGCACACTATGTTTCATAACACTCTGCTTGGAGACAAACAGTTTTAACTCAGAAATTCACAATCCTTTACTTTGAAACTCATGGCTGACTTGGCATTTCTATGAAACAAAACTAGAAGGTGCACTAGAAGTGTCTGTGGGGCTGCCGTGGATTGAATGGAGAACCCGACACTGGAAATCTGTCAGTGCAGGAACTCCTGGGGGGGG